AGCACATTAGCACATGTAATTGGCTCACCCTTTTAAGCTTCCTTTGGCCATGGATTAATGGTAATTAGCCTTTAAATGAAGCTATTTCTCCTTTACAGGCCTCACCCACAGGTCTGCAGAGTGGTGAAAGGAGGAGGTGACTGTTTTAGGGACAAGGGAACTGAACCATAGAGTCATCGAGGTTGGAAAAGCCCTCCAAGATCATCGAGTCCAAACATTCAGCACTGTCAAACCCCAAACCCACCACTAAACCACGTCCTCAAGTGCCACATCTACATGTTTTCTGAACACTTCCAGGGACGGTGATGCCACCACTTCCCTGGGCAGCCTGTTCCAAAGATCCAGAAGGCCCCCTTTGCTGTGCCAGGTCTTCCAGCCTGGGGTGAAGCCACGTGCCTTTGGGTGCCCAGCATGGCCCAAAACGCTGCTCCTTGGGCCAACAGCCCCTCCCTCTTCTCCCACGGCGATGCTCCAGTGGGAATTCTCCAGAGCTGGCACACAGCTGGGTGAGGTGTGGTGGGCAAAGGTCCAAGGGGCAAGTCCTAAAAATCCCTGCGCTGCCAGGGCAATGTGACAGGCCCAGGGATGTTGGAAAGAGGGATGAGCTCCTGTCCTCACCCACCTGCCCACGCAGCAGGGATTGAGCAGCTGCCCAGGTGAGGCTGCGCCCAGTCCCTCCTCCGCACCTCGCAGGAATTTCACAAGGAAACAGCTGCTGGAAAACACCCTGTGCTGCCTCTGCTCAGGCACATTTAGTGGCTGAATCCACCGCAGTTTTGGGGTTATCCTGAGGAAAACCAGTGGTGTCTGCACAGAGCGGTGTCAGGCTGCATCCCGACCTGCCGCTTCGGTCTGACTGGGACACCTGATCCTGCACATCGGGACAAACCTGCCTGCCTGCAGCCCCTGACCCCTGCTCTGCTGCACAGCACATCATCCCAGCATCATGCTGGGGTCTGGGCAGGTGTCCCCAAACTGGGGTTCCCCTCGGGGATGGTGTCAGCCACCCTCTGGGCCTCGCAGGGATGAGGCTGCCAGGAAATCGGGGGGATCTGGGAGCCTTAAACACCAAACAGAATCACTGAGTAGTTTGGGTTGGAAGGGACTTCAAAGCTCATCCTCATCCAGGACTTCAAAGCCATGGGCAGGGGCACCTTCCACTAGCCCAGGTTTGCTCCACGGCCCATCCAACCTGGCCTGGGACACTTGCAGGGATGGGGCGGCCAAACACCACATCTGAGCTGGGAGCACAAAGCAAACCTGCTGCGTGGGGGGAGAGGGGACAGTTTAAGGCCTGAGCTGTGCCTTGAGCTCCTGCTGCAAGAGCCTGGTGGTGCACCCAGCACAGCCCTTCCGTGGGCAGCGGGGGAGGGGGACACAGGGGAGGGACACGGGAGAGGGGGATACGGGAGAGGGGGACACGAAGAAGCCTTGGAGTGGGGATGTGGTGGCACGGGGGTGCGAGGAGCAGACAGACAGGCAGACAGACGGACTGACAGACTGACCAACATCCCCCCCCCTGTGCACACAGCTCGCCGGAGCCCCCCGGCTTGTGCAGGGGCCGAGGGGGGACCCGACCGAGGGGATGCACCGGCGATGCCTCATCCCGCGGGAAGGTTTCGGGGGGGGGATTTCAGGGGCTTTGGGCGGGGGAAGGGAGGAAGGGGGATTTCCAAAGCTTCAGGGGGATTCCCGGGGGGGGGATTCCCGGCACCCATCCGCGCTGCTCGCCGTGCCCGGGGCGCACCCCCCGTGTCCCCTCCGCGGGCTCACCTGCATGGTGGCGGTGCGGGCCCCGCAGCGGGGCGGCCCGTGCCGTGCCGTGCCGTGCCGTGCCAGCCGGGGCTGTCTCGGTCTCGGGGCTGTCTCTGTCGCTGTGTCGCTGTGTCGCTGTCGCGGTGACGCGCGCGCGGGGCTCCCCGGGAGCTGTAGTGCGGGGAGCGCGCGTGGGGCGGGGCGGGGCGGGGCGGGGCGGGTCCCTCCCGCATCCTCGGAGGAAAGGGCTCAGCATCCCCTGCCCAAGCTGGTCCTCACCCCTCCGCGCTCCCCCTTTCGCTTGGCCTTTCCTCCCGGCTCCGTTCCCAGCGCCCGATCCCAGCTCCTCCCCCCGGAGAGGAGAGTTTTCCACGGAAACCTTAAAAGAGTTTCTAGGGCCTAAAGAGGCTCCAAGAGAGCCGGAGAGGGACCTGGGAGAAGGGCGTGGAGGGACAGGACAAGGGGGAATGGCTTCCCACTGCCAGAGGGCAGGGTTAGATGGGATATTGGGAAGGAATTCTTCCCTGTGAGGGTGGGCAGGCCCTGGCACAGGTTGCCCAGAGAAGCTGTGGCTGCCCCTGGATCCCTGGAAGTGTCCAAGGCCAGGCTGGACAGGGCTTGGAGCAACCTGGGCTGGTGGAAGGTGTCCCTGCCCATGGCAGGGGGTGGAATGAGCAGCTCTTTAAAGTCCTTTCCAGCCCAAACCACTCTGGGATTCCATGGGATTTTTTCCCCCCCAGAGACAGGCAGGAAAGACCAAATGGAAGACCAAACTTTCCCTCCAGCTATGGCTTTGTGGAGGGAACAGGGAATGCAGACCTGCCCTTGCTGCAGTTTGCCCAAGTGCCAGCAGGTGCCCACAAAGGTACCCAGTGTTTGCCAGGGGATTTGTGTATCTCTCCCGGTTTGGGAAGGAAATACAGGGTTACAGGCAAAACACTGCTTTGGGTAGTGAGCGAATTTCTCCTTACAGGTGGAACTGGAGTTACTCAGGGTGTGTTTGCTCCTTGAAGTAAGAAAAAATACTGGAGAAACCTACAAATGTGCTAGTTCTCTTTAAAATATTTCAAAAGTTTCCATTGAAAAGAAACAAATTTTTTTTGGCAGCCACAGCTCCTGTGGGTTGCGGCCTGCAAGGCTGGAGAGGTGGGGACTGTGCATGTGCAAAAACACAGTGGAAAATGCTGCAAAAGTGACCAATTTGTGCAAAAAATATAATAATTTTAAAAATGATGTGTTTTTTCCCATGTTCTGCTGGTTGCCATTCTCTGCCCAGAGATTGGAATTGAACTTTCCTTTTGCAGTCTGATGCACAAGGTCTGTCTGCAGCATCCAGAGAAGTGCCAGCCCCTTGGCACTGCCTGCCCCCTGCCCACACCACAGCCTGACTGGGCTTCTCAGACAGGTCCTGGGGAAATGAGGCTCCAAGTGTTTGTGCACTTGACCCTGGCAAAGAAAAGCCCCTTTCCTGCCCCTCCTCCCAAGCTGGCTGTAGTTTTGCTCATTGTTTTTTTCTTTTCTGTAAGCAGACAGTTCCCAGTGCTTACAATTATACAAACCTCCCCCAAGCAGTCATTAAATCAGCACCTTCTCATATATAATATATACATATATAATATATATATATAATTTATAGAGAAACGACTTCTGTAAACAATATTCTTCTATTCCAGAAGGCAGTGTAGTCCGTGGCGTAATGCAGCTACAAACACGGATATCTCGGAGAGAACCTGCAGCTCCGGGGAGGGGGCCACCCCCAGCCCCCACAGGATGGCTCTTGGGCGGGGAGGGAACCGGCTTGGCTCGGTATGGGCGGCACCAGTTTCAGCTGAAGCAAACTGGTCCGACTGTGAAACCAAACTGGTGCGAGGCGTCGCCGTCGTGAAACACCGCCAGGTCCCGCAGGGGCAGCAGCGACAGCTCCTCCGTGCTGAACTGGAAGATGGTGTCGGTGATGGAGGACTCGTTGTCCAGCTGAAAGGAGCACAAAGGGGCAGCTGAGGGACACCAAAATCCTCAAGGAGCCTCTCAGAGCACCCGCTGTCTCCTTGCGGGGTCCTTGATAAGACACAGCAGCCCGGGGGATGGAAAGTGTCCATCCCCAGCACTTCCCGGCTTTTCCAGCCAGTGACCTCCCCCGTGTCCACCTCACCCCCTGCCACATCCCAGCCCGCTCCCAAAAGCCACGGCAGCTCCTCGGCCCAAGGGATGCTCTCCATGCCCATCCCACCGGGTGAAGCCTCATCCCCCAGCTCTATTCCAAACTTCGGGAGTGCAAACACACTCCCAGGGGCTCTGCGAGTGTCGGGAGGCTCTTCCAGGCACAGCCAAGGTGCGCCAGGGCCGGGCTTACCAGGCAGCCCTGCAGGCTGGCTGCATAGCTCTGCTCCCGGGAGTCGGCCAGGAAGCGGATTTCCTTGTCGGGCTGCGGGTGGTCCCGCTCGGGGGCCGGTCTGCAGGAGTAGGACACCTTCTGGGTGGCCAGGCTGCTGTGCAGCCGCAGGAAACGGAGCTGCACCGGGCTGGCCCCCCTGTATTCCAGCTGCAGGGACAACGGGAGAGAAAACCGGGAAGCGGGGGCTGCTCGGAGCGTTCCCAAAATGGGCAGGATTCAGCTGCTGAGGCGCTGATTTGGAGTCCCTTGCAGGAGGAGGTGTCACATCCCACTGTGCACAGCCAGGGTGGCCTGGGTGCTGCCCAGCACAGCGGGATGGGCACCAGGACAGCCCTGACCCCACGAGAGGGGCTCCGTGTCCCCCGGGCTGTTCCAGCCGGGCACTCACCAGGAAGCCCCCGGGCAGGGTGCTGAACCACTCAAAGGTGCCCTCCGAGCTGTAGGTGCTCAGCCAAGCCTTGATGGGGACCTGTGGGGAGCAGGGACCGTGCCATGCTGTCCCAGCAGGTAACAGTGGCACTGCCAGCACCAGGAGCAAGCATACAACCCACATATGTGCCCTGTCCCTGCAGCCTGGGCACACACCGTGACCAGGATCCTCCCCCCAAACTCCTGGACACAACACAGTCTCTCTCCAGCCCCACCAACCCTCATCCTCACCCACCCCAAGGGGTAACACGGGGCCACCAAAAGCCACCCCATACCTGGTTGTGGATGGGGGCTATGCAGGTCTCCCCTCCTGCTGTGAAGTTGCAGAAAGCCACCAGCGCGTCCTGGGGGCTGCCCTGGTTGGGGTCGATGTAGTACTGCCCTGTAGGGAGTCAGAGGGGAGCTCCTGGCACCCGGGGTTTGGCACAGGGAGGGTGCCACACAAGGCCACCCACCCCAGCTGGTGGCACATCCCCGGCTGCCACCTCCATCCAGCCTGGCTGCCAGCCCCTTTCTCCAGGGATGCCCATGAAACCCAACTGGGCTCATTCCCCAAATCCTTATTCCCTCTTCATTGCAAAGAGCTGCCTGTCCCTGCACAGGCTCTGGAGAGCTGGACAGACCCAGGAGCCAATGGTGGGGACCCCACATGCCCCCTGGTACCATCAGGCAGGCTGGGGTGTGCCAGCAGCAGCTCCTTGCAGGTGGTTGCTGGGTTGGTTTTGGTGCCATTGGGGTGCTCAACGAGGGCTTGGAGCTCCTGGTTCAGGGTGTCCAGCAGAGCCCAGACTGCAGTGTAGTTCAGGTGGTTGGAGGAATAAATGAGGTGCTAAAAGAGGGGGACATATCCAAGGTGACCTTAGCTCCCCTCTCTCATTTTGGCCAGGAGCACCCTCAGGTGCTGAGGGAGGGGACGGGACGTGCAGGGGACAAGGACGAGCGTGGCGGGAGAGAGATCAACAACATCTGCTTGGTCCTTGTGCACAGGGGACCTCAGAAGCAGCAGGACATGGGACAATATCCCTGCCAGCCCCTTCCCTCCACGGGTGGCACCCACCAAAAGAGGATGGGAAGTCCCTCACCTGCAGCTCCTCCTGGGACAGCACCAGTGCGGGCCCGCTGGGACCAGGGGGGCCAGTGAGACCCTGGGTGACAGTGACAGTGCTGGTGACATTGGCTGCTGCCCATCACGCTGGCAGCTCCTCTGACACCGCCAGCAGGGTGGCGTGGCGTGGCAGGACCTCACTGCCCCAAATTTGGGGCAGGAAGGGACCCGAGTTTTGGTGATGGAGGCTCCACTTACCGGCATTCCCGGCGTGCCCCTGGGGCCCGGCAGTCCCGGGAAGCCCCTCAGCCCCTGCCCGAGGATGAGGTGGAAAGAGGGAAGGGAAGCAAAGGGTGGAGCTGCTGCTGTGCTGAGCTGCACCCCAGGGTCCCCACGGGGCCCCCTGCACCCCAAGGGGCAGGAAGGAGGGCAGGGCACTCTGTGACAGGGCTGATCCCGGCCCCAGGCACTCCCCACTACTTACTTTGGGTCCAGACAAGCCCTGGAAGGAAAGGACAAGGTCCAGCTGAGCGGGAGGCAGGGGGGATCAAAGACTCATCCCAGTGTAGCCCCTGTGGGGCCGGGAGTGAACCCAAACCTGCCGGGAGGGTGAAGGACTCACCGGTGTCCCGGGAATACCAGGGTGTCCCCGTGGGCCAGGGGGGCCAGTGTCACCCTGCAAAGGCACTAAAGGTGGTCAGGGCACTGCAAGGGGCATCCTTCCAAAACACAATCCCCTCCCCACAGATTTGGCATGGAAAAATTATTAATTCACCCCAAACACTCATGTCAGTCCCTGACATCCCTCTCCATCCTTCCCTTACCTGTTTTCCCTTGGGTCCTGGCCTCCCAGGGACGCCATGGGGTCCTGGCTTGCCCTAGGAGACGTGGCAGGATGTCACACAGGGTGAAAAGGGACCAGAGGGAGGAAGGAAAAGAGACAAAACTATCCCCCACCTTGAAGCCATCGTCCCCTTGCTGGCCCAGGTCGCCAATGCTGCCCTTCTCACCCTAAAACAGAGGCAGGGAAAGCTCTGGGGACAAAGAGAGGGGCAGAACCCCCCAGGACACCAGCCTGGGTGGGGGGCTCTGCCCTGCAGGGTGGGTTTTGGGACCCTTGCTCTGGTTACCCATCAGTGGTGGGCAGTGGAGGGTTTGCTGCCTGCCCTTGGCAGGAGGTACCAGCCTGGGGATATTTCCCAGAGCCAAACATCTCCTGGCCTCTAACAAGTGGCTGGAAATGAGAAGCTCCCAGTTATTGGGAATGCAAAATTTCCCAATGCTGGCTGCAAAATTTCTGCAGGAAAACCCCCCACCAAACCAAACAAACCCCCAAACACCCATCCTTTGGGTTCAGAATTAGCTGCACTCTCATTGCTGGGGTGGGAAGCAGTGGGATGGATGATGCTCAGCTGCCAAAATGAAAGCATATTTTATCCCAGACTAAAATATGTCTCAGGAAAACCTCGGAATTTCCCAGGAAACACTTTCAGGAAATAAAGAAACGTGCTGAAATGTGGTGGGAGCAGGGGACAAACCCCAGGCCAGGCTGCCACAGCCTCCCCTCTGCCAGCACTTCAGGCACTGTCCTTCAGCTTCTGCTGCTGCTCACTGAGCTCCCAACGAATAAAGGCTTTATTGATTCCCAGGGTTTCATTTTCCTGAGGGATGTGAGCAGCTCCCCAGCACCAGGGACTGATTGTCGCTCTTATTTATGGCTGTGGGGATGAGGGATGGGATGGTGAGGATGTGCTTGGCTTCTCAAGCCGAGAGTAGACCCATTAGCTCCTCAGGAATGGCACCGAGGAGGTTTGTGCTGCATCAGCATCACTGCTGAGAGCAGGGGATTAAAAGACAGATTTAAAATGTTGGTGCTGCTCTTGCAACTCCAGGAGGATGGAGAGGCTGGAAAAGGACCTGGTTTGGGAGCAAATCTAAAGATTCCACCTCGCATCAGCTGGGGACATGACGGTCAACCCCCAGAGAAGGATGCTGTAGCCATCAGGGTGCAACAAGAGGGGGAATAAATGATGCCATCCAGCAAATGAAACACTACCCAGGGTTTCCACCGTGGCCAGAACGTGTCACCCACCTTGTGCCCTTTGGGTCCAGGGTCTCCTTTCATGCCCTTCAGCCCTGGGATGCCCTAAAGAGAGGATCATCACCCTGTGGCTCAGCTGCTCCCTGGCAAGGGGGGACCTCACCACAGCTGAGGCTGCTGCCAGGATTTTAAGAATTTCAGGCATTTTTAGAGAATTCGAGGCGTTTTTCTCATCTTTAGAAACTTTGAGGTGTTTCCCTCAGCTTGTCTTTGATTTTTGCTTGTGGGAGGATCCCCCAGCAAACCCCACTGGAAAACGCAGTTCAGGCGCCTTGGATCTCCCTGGATTTCTTTGGTGAAGTTGCCAAAGTTGGGATTTTTTTATTTTTAAAGGGAGGAAAAAAGGATTTCTAGTAGTTAAAAGAAATATTTGAGGTGGGTTTTTTTTATGTTAGCCAATGCTGGTCACAGCTGGTCCCTCCAGCCAGGGCAGCTCTCTGGGAAGGTGAGCACAAGTGCTCAGCATCACAAACTTCCCTGCAAGGGAAGGGTTTGGCCTCCAGAGCCATATGTTGGGATTTGCCTGACTGCACACACTCCTGGGAGGAGAATGCAGGAGGAGATGGATGAACCACCCAAAAACCTCACTTGTTTTAAATGGGTCTGCAATTTGGGTGTCCACAGAGCTGGGCCATGCAGTGGTGCCCATGGGAGCAGCAGCACCCCAAACCCCCCGTGCTGATACTCACATAGGGTCCCTGGGGGCCCTGGGGTCCTTGAAGCCCTTTGACACCTGGGTAGCCCTGAAATACAGAAGTGAGAAGCCCTGGTTGGTGTGCCCAGGGGTGTGGGGTGATGCTGCAGTGCCCCACGAGGGGCTGGGGGTGTGGGAGACCCCCCCATAGGGCTGGGAGAGACGAGGGACACAGAGCCCTCCAGCTGCATTGGTTTATCCTCTTCTAATCCAGGGGCTCAAGTGGGAGCCCCCCTGGTTTGGTAGCACCCCCAAAGTGCCAGGGCAGCTCTCACCCTGGGGGGCAGAGCCAACCTACCTTGTGCCCCCGGGGACCCCGTGGGGGCTGGTGGCCCATCTTGCCTCTCTTGCCCTGGGAACAACGGATCAAAGGCTCAGGAGCAATTCCAAAATAATCCAGCCACCCCTGGGCCCCCTCGCTATCCCTCCAGGGATTTGAGCCCCCAGCAAACCAGGGCTCCTCTGGAAAAACCTCCCCAAAAATCTCCCTGCCTGCTGCCACCCTCCCTGGGGACAACAGTGCCACTTACCCGTCTGCCAGCTTCTCCAGGGACCCCTCCTCGCCCTTCCTGCCCCACGTCGCCCTGGGGGAAGAAGAGATGGCAGATGTGGGTCTCCAGCAGCTCGGCCACATCCCAGCCCAGGCCTGCATGGAAGTGGGGACACAGCTCACCAGGCACTGGGGGAAGGACACCAAGGTCCCCTGAACCCCCCTCCAAGGGCATCTGAGCCAGGGGGGATGCAGCTCTAGGGGCCTGAGCTGGGGAGATGTGCCAGCCCCTCACCCAAAAACCAGCCAAGGCAGCCCAAGGGCATCCTGTGTTTGCCAGGTCCCTCCAGCTTCCCTCTGGGTTCTCTCCGTGATCCAAAATGGGATTGACCAGCTCAGGCTCAGCCACCCCCTGCCAGCCCCACAGGAGGATTTTTGGGGGTACCTTTTCTCCTTTGTGACCTTTCCATCCTTTAGGACCAGCTTGTCCCGGAGAGCCCTACAATCCCGAAGGAGAAGGAAAGCCCTGTGTGAGGAAGCTGTGCCAGGGATGCCCCTCTCGGCCTCCCTGCCCACCAGCTGACCTAGGAGGATGCTTCAAGCTGGAACCTTCCCAGGAGAGAAAGGTGGGCAGGATGGGGCTGTGGGGGGAGATGCTGCCCGTGTGGGACCTCACCACATCCAGGAGATCCCAGCACTCCAGTGCCCCTGGCAGGGAGAACCAGCACAGCCCCATCCCACCCCTCACCATTTGTCCTGGTTTCCCTGGCTTGCCTGGCTCCCCTTTTGCACCCACCAGGCCCTAAGAAAGAGAACAAAATTCAACCCAAATGCAAAGAATAAGTTCTTAAGGTTACTCACGCCAATCCAGGGCAGGTCTGGGCACAGACCTGGGGGGTGAGCAAAGCTGGAGCAGGGAATGGGGCAGCAGAGGAGCCCACTCACCTCGATGCCACTCAGTCCCGTAGTTCCAGCTTCGCCCGGGGGCCCAAGAGAACCCTGAGGTCATTTGGGGACAAAAGTGGCATCAGGGAAGGCAGGGGGGAAAGGGCACAGCACCTGCCCTGCCCTGGGAACTGGACTCGGGGTTGTTATCCCCTCTAGTGCTGGAGCTGTGCCAGGGAATGTCCCCACTGTGGGAATGCCCTGCTGGCACAGGGAGGAGTTACCTGCTGGCCTGGCTTCCCCTTGGTGCCCATCACTCCTCTGGCTCCTTCATGCCCGGTGTATCCCCGGAGCCCGGGGGCACCTGCCAGCCCCTGAGCCCCTGCTGAGCCCTGGGGGGCACAGAAATGGGGGCACTGCTCACCCAGCCCCCCTGGAGCAGGGTCTGAGCAGCCCCCTCTCTTTGCAATTTTCCCCCTGGAGCTCATTCCACATCTCAGCCTCTCCCAGCAAGGACAGTCCCCCCAGGTAAGGGAGTTTGCTTCATTGAGATGTGCTTTAGGGTCTGGAGTGACAGCACAAGGGGGAATGGCTTCAAACTGCCACAGGGCAGAGTGAGATGGGATATTGAGAAGGAAATTCTTCCCTGTGAGGGTGGGCAGGCCCTGGCACAGGTTGCCCAGAGAAGCTGTGGCTGCCCCTGGATCCCTGGAAGTGTCCAAGGCCAGGTTGGAGCAACCTGGGCTAGTGGGAGATGTCCCTGCCTGTGGCAGGGGGTGGGATGAGATGAGCTTTAAGGTCCTTCCGACCCAAACCAGTCTGGGATTCTGGGATTCCATGACAAGGGCGTGTCTTGCCTGGGCACAACGGCACTGCAAGATGGGAAAACTGGGATGCAAATGGGATTTATCCTGCAGCTGAGCTCAGAGCACTGACATCACACCTGTGGCTCTGTGTGTGTCACCACCATGACCAGAACACCCATCCTGGGGCAGCACAGGCTGTTCCTGGGCACTGGGAGGCTCCAGGGAAGGGGGAAAACAAGAGCCCTGCTATGTTAAAATTCCTTTAGGGAGCTTTGGCTCTGGGAAACTCAAGGAAATGATGCCTCAGTTACAAAACCACAGCAGGGCAGGAGTCAGAAGCCATGGCTGGCACCTGGGCTGGCAGAGACACAGCCCCAGCCCCAGGCTCTGCTGCTCCATCCCAAAATGCCACCAAACCTCTTTGCCAGGGAAGTTTGGCTGGTTCTCACCGCTGGACCGGGCTTGCCACTGTCTCCCTTCACTCCATCATCTCCAGCAAGTCCCTGTGGGGATGTTGGGGGTTTAGGATAAGCCCATCCCCACCATGTCCTTCACCTCTGGGGGTACTTTGAGCATCCTCCCCCCTCACACCACGCTCAGCTGGCCAAGGAAGCACCAGGGACACCTGGGAGGGAACAGATTCCACAGCAGGAATGGGTCTTCCATGAGGCCCCCCTGGGTGACGGACTGAAAGGGTCTCATATCTCCACCCCAAACAACAAAGTACCTCCTGGGAGTCCATGCCAAGGTTTAAAAACCCCTCATGACCCAGGCAGGGAAGGGGCAATAAATCCTTTGGCTTTGGTTTGTGTTGGAAATGGTGGAGAACTGGGAAAGCCTTTGGCAGCTCCCAGCTCTACATCATCCCAGACATCAGTACCTCCAATCCTGCAGCACCAGCAGGTCCATCCATGCCTCGTGGTCCTGGATCTCCCTGGGGAAGAACGGGAAACAGCTCCATCCCTGGAAAACTCCTTCCTTGCCTTGCTGGCTTTGGGTCTCAGGCAGCAAGGCAGGAGTGTCCCATGGCAGGTCCCTCCAGCCCAGTCACCGGTGCCACCACATCCAGCACCAGCAGAGCTTGGGAAAAGGCCAGGGAAGGGGATTCCACTCAGAGATGGAGGGTTGGAACCGTCAATCCCACTGTACCTTCTCTCCCTCAGGACCATCGAGCCCAGGAGGACCTCGGAGTCCTGTCCCACCCTGTTCAGGGTACAAAGGAGCCCCGTTGATTCAGCCCTGCCCAGTGCTCCCAGTCACACACACATCCCCTTCCAGGTCCACGATGGATTTGGAGCCCTGCCCAGTGCTCCCAGTCACACACATCCCCACACCAGGGTTGGTGATGGGTTGAAGGGGAGAAGGGCCGTGATCTGACTTACAAACCATCCTCTGGCTCCAGCAGGTCCTGCAGCTCCAGTAACCCCAACCTGGCCCTGGGACACAGGGAGATGTGCTCAGCAGGCTCCCAGCCCAGCAGGGGCTGGAATTTGGTCAGAGGCAGCTTTATCCTGGACAGCCCCACAAGCCCAAACCATCCTTTTGTGCCAACAAGACCCAAGCTTGGGGTCATGCCCGTGAGATACAAAACTCCCTAATTATGGAGATTTGCCAGTTCCTAGGATTTTCTGCAGTTCCTACAGCCCAAGGTTTCCCCCCTCCAGGGCACCCAGCACCCAGCCTGTGGGGACACTTGGTGAGGCAGCCCCAGCCCCACTCTGTACTTGCCATCAAACCTTCTCGGCCCTTCTCTCCTTTCTGGCCTTTTCCTCCGATTTCCCCTGTGGCAGCTCCTGGCCCAGACACTCCAGGGAGGCCCCTGGGCCCAGCATCACCCTGCTCAGGGATGGACACAGAGGTGTCACCACGAAGGTGGAAAAGGAAAAGCAATCAAATGAGAGTCACTCAGCATGGAGACAAAGTGTTTCACCCCAGCTTTGGGTGCCACAGACAGCAGGTCACCCTGGGGTGCCCAGGAAAGCTCTGAGCCCTGCATTTCCAGGGATCCTCAGCCACGGGGACACCCTTGTCCTGCCCTGTCCCCACTGTGGCACGTGGATCAGCAGAGGGTGAGCAGGTTGTGGGTGTTCCCAGGTGCTGGGAGGGGGGACAGGTTTAGGGACACTCCTCACCTTCCGTCCCCGAGGTCCTGGCTCTCCTGGGTCTCCAACGTCACCGGTGTCACCCTGTCCACAGGGGAACACCCACATCAGCTGCAGTCAGTGGCTGATGTGGTCATGCCCATGAGACATGAAACCCTAATTAAGAAGATTTGACAATTCCTAGGGTTTTCTGCAGCTCCCAGAGCCCAAGGTTTCCCAGTGGGGTGAGCCCTTTCCTGTGGGGACACTGGGTGCCCGGTGGGTGAGGCAGCAAACCTTCTTGGCCCTTCTCTCCTTTATGGTCCCATCCCAGGGCAGGCTAAAACCTGAGCTCTGACTTCCATGGGCTTCTCCACCCTCCTCTGGCCAGGATTTTGGTGCTGGATAGGGCATGGCCTCACAGCTTTGCTGGATCTCAGGGAAAGGTTCTTCCCCCAGAGGGTGGTTGGCACTGAACAGGCTCCCCAGGGCAGTGGGCACAGCCCCAAGGCTGCCAGAGCTGCAGGAGGGTTTGGACAACGCTCTGAGGGACAGGGTGGGATTGCTGGGGTGTCTGTGCAGGGCCAGGAGTTGGACTGGATGGTCCTTGTGGGTCCCTTCCAGCTCAGGACAGTCTGTGGTTCTGTGATTCCCTGGCAGGGGACCCCAGCAGGGATCAGTGACGCCCGTGGGGACAGTCCCACACTTACCTCCTTCCCCTGCTTCCCAGGCCGCCCTGGAGGCCCCTCTGGTCCCTCATCCCCTGGCTCCCCAGGGCTCCCTCTGACACCTGGAGCTCCATGGGTTCCTGCCTCTCCCTGCACAGGATGAACACAAGCAGGGTTATTCTTGGCTGCCTTTCCAGCTGAGCCTGGCTCTGTCCTCCATCATTTTGCACCACACTGGGAAAAGCCCAGTTTTCCTTGTTCCAGGCACCAAGCTTTGATGGGAACTCCCTGCCATTCCCAGCAACACCAATCCCCAGACATGAGGAATCTGGGGAGGGAGGGGGGGTTTAAACAGCCCCCCATGGATTCAGGTGCATCAGCAGGGCCAGGGGAGCCCAGCACCACCCCAGCATCACCCCCAGCACCCCTGGGAACCTACCTGCTCTCCCTTGGGCCCAGGCTGACCCTCCATTCCTGGTGGTCCCGGTGGTCCCTGGGGAGGAAAGACACAGCCCAGCCCTGGCACAGCTCATTTACCCCTCACCAACACAGACCCAGCTTTAACCCTCTGGCTTAGCTGAGGATCAGCAGCCTCCTCCCATCATTTCCCCATCCCTGGAGTGGGAAGGCAGAGGCTGGAGCAGCCCAGCGAGGGGAGGACACGGTTCTCCAGCTGCTGTACCTGCTCACCATCCAGCCCACGGACACCAGCGTCCCCAGGATCTCCCACATCACCCTGGAGAGGACACAGACACCAGGAGAGCCGTGGAGTTCTCCACACAGCTGCCCTGCAGACCCTGCTGTGCAGGAGGGCTTGCAAGGCTCTTCTCCCCCCTTGCACCAGGGGTGTAAACCCCCACCCCTTGCACCAGGGGTGT